AAAAGAACATTATTTTGTGTATTTGGTGTAATGAAATGTGTTTGTGGTTTAAGGTTCAAAAACACATTATTTTCCACATACTGTACATTATAGTTTCTCCTCTATGCCCCGCCTTTCTGAAACGCGTCGATTTTTACAAAGCTCATCGTTCTGAAAGCGAGGTGTGCTGTGATTGGCCAGCTATCCAGTGTGTTGTGATTGGCCGAATACCTCAAGCGTGTGACGGAAATGTTACGCCCCTCACCATACTGTGCTGCCCTGTCCGGCCGGAGCGACGAGACAAACACATTAAAACCCATTATAAACCAGGCATTTGTTGCATCCAGTGGAGACATAATTACTGATTATAATGACTTATACTGTCTCTTTACGTGTTGCGTTGCATCGCGCCGCGTAAACATAAAACATGTCTGCATTTGTGATCGGAGAAATGCCCTACTCTACACTGCCCAAAACTCATGTTTGAGTCATCAGTGGCAAATCCTTTAAATGAAAACATACTAACGTGAGTCAGAACTGCCGGCATTTTAGTCTAACGTTACTCTCCCAGGATCAGGACACAGTCCTCCATAAAATGTGCCGGCGATCCACAGCACTAAGTTGATGTATTTCCTCAGCGTCCAGCACGGATCAGCTCTAGGCATGACGAAGCAGATATCGTCCTCTTTTGGAAGACCAAACAAAGTAGTTTCGCTTTCACAACGAAGCACACAGCGTCTTCACGACATGGCGGCGGCAGCAACAATACTACAGCGAGAATAAAATGTATGCCTTCTTTCTTTGCGTGAACATTTGGGCGGCGAAAGAATAACAAAGAATCCATCTTTTGTTCTAGTCTTAAAAAGTGAAAGGTGTGTAGATGTATGTAACTGGCGATTATCTTTTCTTGTAAAACGTGACAACAAGATCGTGAATTCGAAAGCATACGAAGCCCGGCTTATAACACAGCAAAAGAGGAAATCCCGTTCACAAAATCATAAAGACTGATGATAAAGCACGGGTTTAATGTTAACCACTTTCCTTTCCATATAACTATAAACTATGATAAAAGTTAACCAGCATGCATTGATTAATCCCATGTTGTTGCACAAAATTTGAAGTTTGTGAGTGATTCCTGAATCAAGTGTGCTGCAGAACAGACCATAATATCACCGAGACTGACCCTAGCAACAGCATAGCAACCATGCACAGCAAACACCGTTCACAATTCCTGCATGTAAAGATCCAGTTTAAGGCAATATATGTTGGAGATAACAGCGCTCTCATTAATCATAAGAATGTTTAACACATTCCACCATATTTAACCCACGGCACAAAATGTCAAAAAAGTGTGCAGATTCTGTGTGGGCCGATGGAAAACTGTTTTCGGCAGAGATCCACGAGCTACAGCAGCTATGCTGGGAATTAAAGACTAGCAAACCCAGTATGCAGTATGCATACCATCTAAATATACTTCATATGCCACGTACTACTTTTATAAAATAGTATGTAAAACAGCATGCATTCTAAATCTTTCTGAATATACATCTATATTGTGCTCTTATTGTAGTAAAATACAGCAGTGTGCATACTATCTAAATATTTGAGAATATACATGATATACTGCATACTCTAATAAAATAGTATATGAAAGAGTATGCAATATGCATAGCATCTAAATATGCATGGTACACGGCATACTACTTTTATAAAACAGTATGTGAAAGAGTACACAGTGTGCATACCATCTAAATATTTGTGAATACACATAATATACTGCAGACTTTAATAAAACAGTTTGTGAAACAATATGTAGTATGCATTGCATATACATGATGCATTGCATACAATTTTTTATAAAATAATATGTGAAACTGCATGCATACCAACTCCTTCTGACTATACACAATATGCTGCACACTATTTTTACAAAATGCCTTGTGAAACAGTACGCAGTGTGCACAGCAAGACTGTTGTCTCGTGATTTTGTTGCATTATGTTCAGTGCACATCATCCAGTTACAATCACAGAAATACACACGGATGTACTTTTACATGTAAACCCAATTTTTGTGAAAAGACACTTTAGTCAGTCTGATCCATTAATGAGTCACGCAAGAAATTAATGTCATAACGCATCCAGTTTGTCACAGTAATGTGCACTGTGGCATATACAGCATTTCTCGCAGTGTGCACTGTATGCATACTGCACATTTCAGCAAATCCATGCATACACAGTTGAAGTGTGCAGAGCATCCAGTGCAGAAACAGCACACGCCAGAGCAGCGAGTGGTGTTCTAGTGCACTACTGTAAACACACGGTCTGTAGGGGGCAGCACTGAGCGGGTGGCACATCATCTACTGTACAGGAGCAAGCTAACTATATGTGTGACCCTGGAGCACAAAACCAGTCCATTTTCGAGAAATTGAGATGTATGCGTCAGCTGAACGCGGAATAAATCAGCTCTCCATTGATGTATGGTTTGTTAGGAGAGCACAATATTTGAAAATCTGGAATCTGAGGGTGCAAAAACATCTAAATATTGAGAAAATCATCTTTAAAGTTGTTCAGATGAAGTTCTTAGCAATGCATATTACTAATCAAACATTAAGTTTTGATATATTTACAGTAGGACATTTACTAAATATCTTCATGGAACATGATCTTTACTTAATATCCTAATGATTTTTGGCACAATAGAGAAATGTATCATTTCGACCCATACACTGTATTGCTGGCTCACTGCAGACTCCCTTAATTAAACCCTGAAAGGAATGTATAATTATGAATGAATTCGTCCCCAGGCTGTAACTTAGTTTGCGAGCTCTTACCGGAGAAGAAGGAGTCTCCGCTGCAGTCACTAACGGTAACGCTATCACGGAAATGTTCAGTGCGCTCCGCGGGCGTCCGTCACATTCTCACTGTCCTCAGATCAGTTCTGTCAGCGGGAGGATCACTGGGTAACGCTGTCTTCACGCGAGTCGAGTCGGCTGCGCACATGTGCGGTGCTTAGAGAAATGTATCATTTTGACCCGTACACTGTATTGCTGGCTCACTGCAGACTCCCTTAATTAAACCCTGAAAGGAATGTATAATTATGAATGAATTCGTCCCCAGGCTGTAACTTAGTTTGCGAGCTCTTACCGGAGAAGAAGGAGTCTCCGCTGCAGTCACTAACGGTAACGCTATCACGGAAATGTTCAGTGCGCTCCGCGGGCGTCCGTCACATTCTCACTGTCCTCAGATCAGTTCTGTCAGCGGGAGGATCACTGGGTAACGCTGTCTTCACGCGAGTCGAGTCGGCTGCGCACATGTGCGGTGCTCTGCTTCATCACCGGCGCAGTGTAAACGGCGAGATTCATCCCTCGTTCATCGTGATCGGCGCGCGGTGCTCTCCGCGTCCTGCGGCGGCTGCTCCTCGGTCTTCAGTCCGGCTGTCGCTGCGCTGCGCTCGGCCCGCGCTCGCTCGAGTCTCCGCTGATTCCCGCCGGCGCTCATCGCTCGCTCCGCGGTGAATGCGGCTGACGCGCGCGCGATCTTCATCCCGTTACTCCCGCATCGTCGAAAATAAGCGCGATATTCAGCGCGACGGTTAGACGCGAGCCAGAAATGATCCTGCGTGGGCGGACCGCCTCTTCATCCTCATCCTCATCCTCATCTCACACCGACAGAAGAAGAAAACCATGCAGCCCTTCAGCGCGCGTCTGACGGACTGGAGAGAGATCTGCTACTACGCTCCCGCGCGCGCGAACACACCTCTAATAACCGCCGCGCAGGGTTTAAATTCTAACGTCTTTAACCGTCACCTTAAACGTTTGAAATTCAGCAGCGGCGCGCTTCATTCGCAACGAACCGAGTTCGATTCCCGCGCTGGAAGAGATCTGTTTCTGAACGATCAGGTAAAATAATCTGTTTGTTAGATGGTATTAATGATTAGTTTGTAGCTTCGCTTCAACGGTTGTAAGTCTCATGACTAAGAAAGTTTATTTAAATCTTAAAACACAAAGATAACTTACTCTTAACGTGACGCTGTCAAGTCCCATTCTGTGAATGCTTCACATTATACACGTCGGCAAATTAATGAAAAGTGGAAAATATAATTTGAGGGAATGATTTTACAATTCAGAACGGGATCTATCAAAATTGTGAATAACACACACACACCCACTCGGTGGCTGGTGGCACAAGGACTTACAGTTTCCATGACAACACAAGCCTTCAATCTGTGGATGGCCGTCCTCCATATTAAATAAGAACGAGTATAAAGCAAAAGGAAAAATAAAGAGAGAGAGAAAGATGGTCGGCCAAAGTGCTTTCGCTCCCCCGAGCCATTGCTTAACACACGGCTACAGAGCTGTAATTATTGCCATGGTTACCAGCTGAGAGGCTGTGTGTGTGTGTGTGTGTGAGAG